AGTAGTTTAATCCCAATGCTACGCATAACAGTTCAATAGATTGCGGGATTTGTGTCCCGCAACACCAGAAGGACCTATCTTTCTATCTCCTATGATGTACGTTCGGGTGTACAAGCTCAATCCTGTCGAAGGAACCTTGTCATCAATGCGTATCTAATTCATGAACTCATCGTCCTCCACTCCTCCTTATCTGAACCTTTCATTGCATCAGTTGACACAACACTCCACGTCATCTGTATTTATTAGTATATTCACTGCTGGTTCTCTTTTCATTTTCAGATATTTTGAGTAGATAAGCATCTCAGAATTTACAGCATTGAAATGTTCATTTATCTCTGACTATTTTTATTATATTATATTATATTTATTTACTTAATTACTTCATACGCACTATCCGTTCCCCGTATAGATGTCGTCCCCTGCAACGAAAGCAATTTATGCACCTTTCCATCCTGCATATAGAAACGATTCTTTTATCTTCCTACAAACACCGACGTTCAAAAAGTCCACTCTTATCACAAATAGGGCTACTGTTCAATTGATAGGTTCATACTGATGAATAACATCTTCCTTTCCACCTTTCTGATTTCATCTCCTTGGATTCCGTTCACTTACTCTCCTCATTTTCAACCTTTCGTAATATCAAATCCACTTTAAATATTTTGAGTTTCTAATTTTTTATTTGAAGAGAGTGGGGCGGTTTTGATCCACTTCATTCGTATTATTTTGTGTTATCAAAGGAACTTAAGAATGTGGTGTCTGGTGAAGGCTGGTTGGGATACAGATATTTTAATATATGAGAATGACATTACCATCACCATCATTATTTGAAACTCATTTACGAACTCTGTAGATAAGCACATGTATCATTCTTTTTTCATTTTTCAGTTGAATATTGTTGAAACTACTAATAAATTTAAAGCTGAGTAACTAACCAGCACAATATTGATCAACTAACTGGTCAAGTGTACTTCATAAAGTAATGAATTTAAATACTTCTCTTCACAGATTTAATAGCTGTTACCGCATTCTGTATTGATTTATTCAGTGAAGTAAAACTCAACATTAATTATTTATTAGAAGATAAGGAATGGGGCTGAATTATTAAAGACCCATAATTAATGTAACATAAATGCAAGTCTATGTCCATAAATGAATAATTAGGGATGATTTTTATCTTCTGGAACTTTTCATTTCACTAGATTCTCAAAGAAGATCATACAGAGAAGGTTATATGAAAAATTATATGTGAAATGGAGACTTGAAAGAGTTAAATGGAAATGAATGAAAAGGAAATAAGCCTTTTAAAGATTGCAAAAGAATACGCACCGAAATTGCAATTGAAGGACGATAGATGAATATCAATAGTTCTTAGATAAAAGCAAGAAAAACCATATCACTCCAACCCTGACATTGAATAGAAATTAGGAAAGACTGCAGCCTAAGAAACGCATTAACATAGTCAAAGGTGAAACAGCAAGAGGAGAAAAAAAAATCACTATGCTAGACATTTCAAGATTAACAAGTCATGAGAGGAAGGAAATCGTCAGGTAAGGAACAAGGATGACACCCTTTTCAAGATCCTCATCATTCGACCAGTAACTCCGTCTCCTCTGATAGGCTGCCATTATCGTCATAATAGTCGTTAATCGCAGGGTCCAGTTGGGGAACATGTAGCTGGCTCGATGGGTGGGTGGGGTTGAAGTTCGGAGTTTGATTATTACCATCACCGTTATTGTTGTCGCCTGAAGGGGCTGAGGTGAGATTTTGAGAGGCAGAATCAGACCCTGCTACATCATCATAATCGTCATCATCGCCTTCATCATCCTCACCATCTTCACCGCCACTGTCACCTCCAAGTCCTTGAGCTTCATGCTCGCCAATGTTCCGCAACAACCCCACAAAGAATTGTCCCGCAAATAACGCAACTTCATTAGCCAGGTTGCGCTCCATGGCAATTTCGATCATTTCCAGATCGCGTTTCTGCTTTTCCTCGCGTTGTATACGCTCCTCCTCAATACGGCGGCAGGTTCCATCGAGCTCCTTGGCGAGATAGCAGTTGGGACACATGTAGTTAAGATTGCAGTATGAACATGAGCAAGGCGGGTTTTCTTGGATGCAGTCTTGACATACATGCACTGAGCAGGATGTGCATTCTCGTAGAACGCTGGAGCAGCGTTGACGTTGATCTCCCACAGCTCTGTATTGAGGGCAGAAGATGGATTGGCACCCCATCCACCTTTTACGGGCTTCTGGAGATGCTTCGAAATATACGGAGGCGGGTGATGAGGAGCGACTGTGGTTGTTAGAGGTAGAGGAGGGAGTTTGAATCATAGAACTTTGATGGATAGTGGGCTGGTTGGATGGGGTTATATGGGTTGGTACGGGTTCGCTGGTTGAAATGGAGGCATCGGATAATTGAGAGGATAAAGCATTTATCATGGCTAGGTTGAAACGAGGCGATGACGTCGAATATTCAGCAGCAGGTCGGCCTCTGGTGGTGCTAGGTTGGCCTGGATCCGCTGGTGAGGGTGTATTTTGAACAAGTGCTTCCGCTTGGCCCTCTCCAGGAGATGACGCGGTGTTTGCAAGATGCATTTTTTCCATAACAAGATCCCGGTATCCGCATATTCGAAGACGTAAACCTCGCAGATCATGTTCCATACATAAAGGCTTAGTGCAACCCTTACAGTGCACTTTCCATTGTGGCCTATCGAAGCATTGTTGACATAGATTTCTAGGGCAGATAGAGGCCTGGTAGTCGGGTGGACCAAGTAGCCAGCGCATCATTTCCGCATGGCCTTCCGGACGGCTGTGGTCCGGTGGGTTTCCGTACGCATCCTTGGGGAAAGTCTTGAGCCACTCATTCGTTGAGAATTCGAGATCTTCCCACCCTTGGCCGCGAGGCAGGGGTGTCGCCCGGAGCCGATCGACGTCTCTGTTGGCTATTCCCAGACTGATCCCGCCACCACCACTAAATGCAGGCTCAGTACAGCACCAGTGAAATTTCAAATTAGGATAAAAGAAACCATTGTTTGGAGCTTGGCTTTGATCCAAAATTTCTTCCTGCATAACGCATGGAGATACCGCTGTTCCTGGTGCCCACCACAAATGTTCACTCGTAGCACCCTCCCTTGGTTTCCTTCGGGCATATGGGCGGTCGAATGCGCAGCTATAACAAAGAGTCCTGCGACAGCCAACACAGTGCATTAAGACGCTGCATTGTTCACACCGCTCTAAAATAAGCTCGTCGCACTCATCACAAGTTATATTCTTCACAAAACGAGTGTGACTTTGTCGTAGATGGGTAGGGACCGTTTTCCCTTCTCCGTATTCGGGTCCATCAGCTGTTCCCAGAGCTTCGCCAAAGCAGCCTGTTTCGTCGTGCTCCCAAAGCCGCCCATCCCGCTTCGAAGTTCTACCATCCCTTTCATTTATTGCTCCAATCCAATTTTTTGATCTCCACAACCTGTCAAACACAACCCACACTTCCCGCGTTCCCTGCGGTGACCTGGATGAAACATAACCCTTTCTCCTGAAGCAACGCGCCGCAGGAGTGGTGCACCATGCAGTATCTGTCCAAATCCCTAGCATATGACACAGCTTAACAAAATCGTGAGTGGGTTCAGCATCAGAATCCCGGCGGAGCAGAGAAGATGAGAGATAAGGACGACGTCTGTGATGGCGGCATCGATAAGCGTATAAGCTTTTAAGAGCAAGACGTTTTGTTGGGGTAGGATTCTCAGGATTATGTAGCAGGTCCGCATCGTATTGGAGTTTGAACATAGTGAGATATGGGATAATATGGTATTTCAATGACACGTTCTTACAACCTCGTACTGAAAGATGTTCGAGGGTATCCCTTCGCATATTCAGCACAGTAGATGTGAGGTTTTGCCCATTCACTGCCGTATTATCCAAATCCAAGCTCCTCAGCGTCGGGCTGAATGGCAGGATGACCTGGAGAAGTAGTTGGTCGAGAGCATAGGGTTGCCGCTGCGCCGACACACCGTCTGTCCCATTGGAGACTGGCCTTGTTTGGGTACCGGACGGGAAGAACAGACGGAAAGATAGATACTGCCATGCTGTCGGGTATGATCTGAGAAGGCTCCTGAGATAACGAGAGGTATGGTAGAGTTGGAAAATGGTATCTGTTGGCGCCTGGAGGAGGAAAGACTCGAATATGGGTGCGTGGGTAGAGAACACTCGTTCAAACGTAGATAGTGATCGTTCAGTAGGAGTTTCAATCTTCACGTCGGGGTCAGTCAAAGTGGAACCGGCGTGCATAGAGGATACTGGAGAGTCCGGCCCTTGCAGGTCACCGGCCAGGAACAGGTTCGGAGAAAATTGAATAGAGTAACTCATGGTAACAGACGATTGAGGGAGGCTGATGCGGAGGTTAAGGCAAAATGAAATGATATTGAGGATAGAATCATCATACTCTGGAAGGGAAACGAATCACATCGGAGGACTCGAAATAAGGGGGACAGGTCGAGGTATTAGCCAAGAGGGACCAGCTATCTGGGTGAGCATGCAAAGAATTATTTGCAAGCATTAAATGTATCTGTATCTGAGTTAGAATGAGGCTGTTTTCTTAATATTCGTTGCTGTGTCACATGAAATCAGTTTGACAACCCAGCGCACAGCAATGAGAGTGGGTTATTCTCAACAGCTGCATCAATAGAAATGAACCAATGTAAATGCTGAGGGTACCATACCAGATTAAAACAGTATATATCTTGTCATATCAGCATCCACCATTGTCCTAAGTCTCAACGTTCCAAGGGTTGATGCGTTAAATATCCAAAATCCTGTCTTGGCGCTTGTTCTGCCACGTCAAGATCATGTGACATCACCACCTCTCGAAGGAGTTGATCTACTTCATGAATACAATGGAATATGTGATCAATAAGTCAACACATGTACTTGTGGATAAAATATATACATCCGTAGCTGGAATACTCTGTATAACATGTCCGCAAATATCCGGGGATCTATTCTTAGCGTTTCTCGGTATTTTCTCCTACGGTGTAACCCCTAGCAATTCCGCTACGCCCTTCAACAACAATAGCTCCCTTCTCCCTGTCTTCTTCGTACTGGATATCAAAATCGCTTCCCAATCCCTTCCATGTTCTTTGCGAACGAAGAAACTCCGCTCCCGGAGACAAGACCCCGCCTATCGTTGCCAGATCACTGTTTTCCCGCTTTGTGAGAGCGTTAGATCCAACTGGTCTTGAAGACGAACGCTGAGTATTAGAAGTCCTAGACGGGGCGGAGGGTTGCATCGGACGAGTGGTAGATATTGAAATGTAGCGCCCTGTGCGTAGATCGAATTCCGGAGGAGCCGATTCTTCCTCGGAAAACGCATCCATGTCGTCGCCACTATGACATTCAGTGTCATTCGTCAAATGTTCAACGGTGGATGCGGCAGCAGCTCCATTCCCATAACTCTTGCTGGCTTCTGCAGTGTCCAATATCGTCTGGTAGTCGCTCCGCCATTCGCCAGTCCATACGCGATCTACATCGCCCTTCAATGCAAGTTCCAACTCGTAGGGTGTGATAATAGGTTTCCAAAAATCTTTACTGTCCACGAGTGAGCTCTCCCAGCACCCTATCACAACCCAACCTCCTATTTCACTGAAATTCGCTATCTTTGCGGCATTCAGCTTGCCAACTACGAACATGTAGCTCTTCTTGCCGGCTGCGGCAATGTGAGCCTTCACATGTTCAACTATGTGAAGATAGTTCTTGACGCTTAATGTATTAATAAGGATTCCAAAAATCGGAACAGTGCTGAGAGATGTTAGGATGGCATATCTTCGTCGCATTGCGACGGCCGTGGAGGCGATTATGGATTTAGAATTAGCTCCACATTGATCCAATCCCTGATCGGTGGGGTAAATATGAATGGCAGCAACTCGGGATGAAAGAGTGAGGAGAAGAGCAGTTGGCGGACCCGAGATATGGAAAAGCTGCCATTCCCGCAATGACTCTGGGTTATCCCTTACTGACTCTGGAACGATCCTGTTCGGTATCGGAGACGACGGGTCATGAACCACAGATGTGGCAAATACGTTTGTATATCCTTCTTTATCCGTCAATATAGATGTTATCCTGTCGACGTGGTCCGAAAACGTGACATCTGCAGCAATCAGGATCTTCTCTTCACGATTCGGATAAGTCTCTTTAAACGCTTTAATCACTGGACCGGCGTCAAGATGTCGATGCGTAAAAACGTAGATCACAGGTAATCTTGCTGTCGGCGACAGACACGCTCGACCATAATGCACTACCACATCGGCGTTTACGTGCTCAGCTGCAACCTCATCCACACAGCAAGTGCCGTACGATGTGTCGGCGAGTATGTACAAATGGGGTTGGTCTTTAGCAGGCGAATACGCAATATCTAGCGCATCAAACTTTGAATTCACGACATCCTCTACCGTATTCTCTTGCAGTCCATTTATAGTATAATCTGTTCCATATTCGTTTGCGCTGTTCCGCTCCTCCCCAGCGGAATATGTCGTCCGAGTCGTCGGTGCGAGGCCGCGGCTTAAAAGCTGAAAAACCCGCGGCGCATCTGGAAGCATCTCATCAGGGAACTGTAGTGCTATTCGTTTCCATTTCCCCTGCCGTATTTCCTCCAATGTCCGGTTAATATCATATGTAATGCGGAGCTCCTCATCAGAAAAGTTTCTCCAAACACGGGGCGGAGCCCGGCTGTCTAAAATACGAGTGTCCGGAGTAGAAAGCACTGGGGCAGCTTCTAAGCTGGATGCCATAATCGTATAGTTTTGGCTTAAGACCCAATATCATATGATTTCAGCCTTGGAACATGGATTATTATTTTTTGGCTGTATAGCTCGATTTCTTTTCAACCTTAGGATTTTCGTTTTTCACAAAAGATTTAAAGATTTCCGCCAGTTAAAACTTTGGTGTCGATGACTAAGGAACTTAACTAGTTAACGTAATCAATCACCTACCGGATCATATCACCTAACGGATCACTTTCATTCAAATCATTCATGCTCTATTAAAAAATTCAGAATGTCAACCACCCTCATTAAAAAGACTTCTAATCAGGAAGCAGGCTTTTATTAGTCATTAATGTCTATAAAGCTCAGCAAATTACAACTATTAGAGCTGCTTCTAAGTTATATAATGTTCTCTATTCCTCTCTGGCCTATAGACTACGCGGTCAAATCACACATGCAAATGCTCAATTAAAAAATCAAAAACTGATCTCTACAGAAGAAGAATCTCTAGTTCAATGGATAATCTCCATGGATGAGAGAGGACAGCCTCCCTGAATCATGACTGTACAAGAAATGGCCAATCTACTACTTGAAGAGCATGAATCCAGTGCTTCTACTATTGTAGGAGAATGTTGGGTCAATAGATTTATACAACAGCATTCTGAACTAAAGCCAAAGTTCTCACACAAATATGACCATCAGCAAGCTTAGTGTGAGGATTCAAAGATTCTACATGAGTGATTTATCTTGGTGAATCATACAATAAAGAAGTATGGAATTGTGCCAGAGGATATTTTCAACTTTGATGAGATTGACTTTATGATGAGGGTTATCTCAACAGCCAGAGTAATCACTAGAGCTGAGAAAGATAACAAGTCATCTCTCATACAGCCAGGGAATACTGAATGGGCAACTGTGATTGAAGCAGTCAATGCTACAGGCTGGGCTCTGCCTCCCATGATTATACTCAAAGGCAAGTGTCATCAATTCTCATGGTATGAGCAACTACCAAAGGACTGGACAATTGGTGTTAGTGAGAAGGGTTGAACCACAGATGAGCTTGGTTTAACATGGCTACAAAAGATGTTCAACAGATCTACTAAGGCTTGTATGATTGGCAGAAAGAGACTGCTAATTCTGGATGAACATGATAGTCATGCCACAGTCAAATTTGACAAGTTCTGTCTGGATCATGGCATTATAGCATTATATATGCCTCCTCACTCCTCTCATCTTCTGCAGCCACTAGATGTAAGCTGCTTTTCATTAAAAAAAGCATATGGCAAAAAGATGGAGCAAAGCATGAGACTAGGAATCAATCATATTGATAAGGAGGAATTCCTGATTAGCTATGCAGCAGCTAGGCAGGAAGCCATGAAGGACACTACTATAAGGAATGGATTCAAAGTCACAGGTCTAGTGCCATACAATCCAGATGAGGTCCTTACTCAACTTCATACTCAATTTCATACTCCTTCTCCCCCTGGATCAGTGCATGAATCTCAGCTTTCCTGGACCCCTAAGACTCCTTGCAATGTGACTCAGTTGGAGCTACAGAGCAGCATGATTAAATGCTGTATGGGGATTCTTTCTAGTCCTACCAACCAAGCTCTTGATCAACTAGTGAAGGGATGTCAGCTGGCCCATGCATAGTGCTGCTATATTAGCAAAGGAAAACACAGAGTTGAGAGCTGCCAATGCCAGGCAGAAGTGAAAGAGAGAGAAATCACATTTTTATATAGCTAAGGAAGGAATTCTAACAGCTCAATATGCATTAGCTAGGACTGCTAGATCTCAGGAGCCTGATCAATGTACAGAGAAAGGGGTTGAGGATTTGAACACAGGGACTAGAAAGCAAAGGCCCCCAACCTGCAGCAAGTGTAATACACCTGGACATAATATTAGACAATGTCAACAGATCTAAGTGTCTATCTTATATAATTTCTATATAGAATTCCTTGTGGTTGTTGCTTAATTTGAAATTTTGTCAAATAGAACGGTGGGGGTGATCCGGTAGGTGATTGATTACGTTAGTTACGGGCCAGCTCCTTATCTTATCTGCAACCCAAGGAAAAAGTGATATCTATACGAATCTTCCACATAAATCATTAAAGACCTAAAGACCAAATAATAAATAGATAAAATGGTCATAAAATTGGTGTTTGTTCCTTTGTTTCTCCCTACTACCACAGTAACCACAGCAAATCCCAAGGGAGATTTGACAAGTTTAACGACAACGTACAGAGACTTCCTTGGCGGGAAATTGATTCTGATCGAATAGCTGGGAACAACCTTAGGTTTTACACGGAGAACATATAATGAAGCATCGGACATCGTGTAAGAAATAAGTCGGAGGTTGGACAGAGCCAGAGCGTTTCAGAAATTTCCCGTAGCCCAGGTTTACCTAGTGGAATAATAGAAATCTAGAAAGGAGGAATGGCCGAAAATAAATACTGTGCTAGCACAATGGGCGCCTCAGTTTCAGAATGTGATCGACTGCTTATTTTGTCCGCGTTATTATCACGAATTTCTCCACTGGATGAAGGGAAGAGAAAGAAAAGGGATAACCGGAGATACCAAACTGAGGGCAGAAAACCAAAAAAGCGCCTAATCGAGCTCGTTAAATGCTATGACATGGTCTCCACCACTCTGACTTTTTCCTCTCCCCTTCTTTCTCTTCTTTCGCTTTTTCTTACTTTGCTTTAGCCCTCCATCGCTGTCATCACCACTGCCATCCTCATTGCTCTCCATCACAAACCTTTGCTCAGGCTTTTGCACGTCCTCATCCTCCGAACCGCTTTCATCATCCCCTTCTCGCTCCTCAGCTTCATGCCAGACTTTAACAATCGACCCACCACCGCTGATCATTCGCCCTCCCACATCGAACCCTAGACCTATAACTCCTTCCAATTCATTATGCACAACCTTAGAGACGACTTTATTTATTCCAAGCTGAACAAACTGGACGGCCCCATCCGATTGCCCGACGGCGACAACCTTCCCTCTTCCTAAATTATCAGGAAGCAATGATAACACCTCCAGAGATTCTCCACCATCAGGTTGCCGATCCACCACAATTCTCTCGTCTTGGTCATCCCACGCTCCTTTCTCCCAGAGAGTTAATACTCCGCTTGCTCCTCCAACGAGCAGTTTTTCACCTTTGCTTGAGCCACCAGCTTTCAATCCTGAAACGTAGACAGAGCTTATCAGTTCTTCCTCTTGGTCCTCACTACGAACCAGAATCCCTCTGCGCAAGTCCGTAACAGCAATGGTAGTGCCGCCGGTTGTAACCCATTGTTTACTAAACCCGGAAGTGCTTGCCTCAGATGGGGGGAGCGGCGTCAGTGAAGAAACATAATCATCATGCGGATGGTGTGTTTGCTGTGGTTTTTGCGAAATCGAAGAGGGAGGTGCACGTAGGTCGTAAAGATAGAGAGCACCAGAGTCTGTGGAGAGAATAAGGGTTTCCGGAGAAAGGGCATGGATTACGGTGGGCGCGTCGAGAGACCTGAAGAGCAAGTGAATTAGTTCAAGAGCAGAAAAAGGAGAACGGAGGATAAAACAAGTGTCGTTGCTTAATAGAATATCCAACTTTGAATATGGATTACAAAACGCATTTGTGAAAGAAAGTATTCGCAGGGGAGGATTGGAGATATAGACAAAGAGGAGGGAGGTACATACCCTTCCCCAAGCCTCGGAATGGCAATCTTCAAATTTACCACGCCAGTTTCTGCTTTTGCAGCTTTAACCCAGCCATCTGCGCCCGCGGAATACAATGTCTCCCCATCAATTCCAAAGCCCAAGCACCGACAACTTGCTTTATGCCGTCTTGTTCTCCAAGCAGTGTCGATAAGTCCGCAGCCATTTTTGGTTGCGCCAGGGCCGCCGTCGCTCGTAGGAGGGATGCGAAATGTCTGAACGTGGCCTGAGGAGAGGCCGACCGAAACCAGAGGTTCTGTTGGGTGAATATCCTGAGCAAAGAGGTCGGCGGACAGGGGAAGACTGCATACTGTGTCAAACATTTCGCTTGTAGTTGAGCTAGCTGTGAGAGTCTCGGGGTGCACGTAGTTATTATGCTAGCAAATGAGCACAAATCATTTGAAAAAATAAATTAATTAATTAATTAAATAAAACCTATATTCTGGTTCGGATACGGTCCTATAGTCTGCAGGGAATCGAAAATCTTTGTTTAATCTTTGTTTGTGTTCATAGTGCAACCTCAGAATCAAATATTGAAAAGAATCAAAGCCCTGGCGCGCGTTGATATTCCTTTCCCCGCTTGCCGGCCCGAGGTTGATCCGTGGTTCAGTGCGTTGGCCTAAATATCTCAACCTCATCTCTCTTCATCCGGTCAACAACTTACCTTCTCCCAAGGGTTTTCAGAGTTATTCCGGATGCTGGCAAATCATGATACATTCAGTAATGTATGTCAAATAACAGCTTGGCTATTGAGACAACGACGACGACCAAATTTTCCAGGAACCTGTGATGGACTGGGCGTTTTTGGTCACTAGATGCAGCTCTCCTCCGTAAAATTTTTGTGGGTGGATTTGCTTGCCAATGGAAAGGACCAAAGACCAAACCATATTCTTTATTTTTTATGTGCATATAATTTGCAAACTTGCCCCAACTGCAGTTCCAATTAATCTTTCCCTTATAACTCTACATTCGAACTCTGACGCAGAAAGAAAAGGAGGCCTGTATACTCTGTATGCTCCATAGAGTTACATGAACAGCAGTAAACTACTATGATGACAACGAGACTAAATGGAGAATTTGCCTGTTTCAATTCTAGGCCAATCGTTGTTGACATTGCTGTTGTGTTTCTTCCACTACAATTTGATGCTGGCTTCTAATTGGGCTGCTCCGGAGCTGAGCTTCTCGATTAGTGTCGCTTGTGAGCCATGGCAAACGAGCATGCACGATCTATGCCCAAAGTGGTTCAATAAATCCGTGAACCATACATAACTAGCTTGGCTGAATGTTTCTCACCTCTCGTTACTATGTCCGCATCCTGATTCGATTAC